CCCCCCGCCCCCTCTGTCTCACACACACAACCTTTTGACAGTATGCGTTTTTACTGGCTGTAACAGCGCTATAGCGCTGCACAGCAAAAACGCATAAAAACTGATAAATCATGTGCCTGGAAATCAGTGTGGCCGTATGATGCAATACTACCCCAATCGACGCCCTTATTCGTGCATGCCGGAAGAGATCAAAGCACGGTCAATATGAGCCCAAGCCTTAGCTTACAGCGCAGGGGTCATTCCTGCTAGTAGCAGTCTGTGTTTTAGTGCAAAAACATATGATCGCACCGGCAAGCCTGATGCGCTTCAGCGCGGGTTTCTTATAGCCTTACTGTTCTGCGTTGTTCATTACGCCTGGGCATCTATCGGAGCAGCAAGTTTATTTGGTAATACCGACTGACTCTTGCACGAACAGTACTCACGCAGTGGTAGAAAATATATGAAAGTTTGCCATGCAGTGAAAAAACTCTCTTGAAAGCCTTTATAGAATTATTTAAATTAAAGAAGCACAAAGTAAAAGGAATTGGAAAGGGTGGTACCATAAAAAGAAACGAGACGATGAAACGACAGTTGATCGGAGTATAAAATATTGTTTCTTATTTTCGAAAATTTCAGGATGCAGCAAATACCATAATCACAGACATCAAACAAATGATACTGCCACAATTCGGGTAATTTCTTATTTCTTTTCTAATATATTTTAACTGCGCCTGTGGTCTGTTCAAGAATTGCTGAGTGTTCACTGTGGTCCGAAAAAGGAAATTTCCCAAATTTTGTGGTTTTTATAATTATCTGGAAAAATCAGCATGCGTTTTCGTGAGTAAATTCAGCCTCCCTGGTGGTTTTTTTTTTCTAGCATGACTTGACAGTTTCCGAATGACTTTTTGTGTCCTTTGATCAAATTTAGTTTTCGCTCAGCAAAACTTGTTTGCTAACTAATTGAGTGCTTGGCTCACTTTGTTTCACTTCATTACGATTTGTTACTGCTGAACGCAGCGGAGAAAGTACTAACTTTCTCTTTTGGCATTTCGTTTCTTGCAACTATCCGTGCCTCATTTCGCAATTTCAGGGTCGTGTCTGAGCGGGAAGCTGCTGCTGAACCGGTGAGCAAGATGCTTCGAATTGTTAACTATGATGAGGGTAGAACTGGCAGTTGAGAAAGGGAACTGGGTTCATGTCTTGACTGTCGTTCAGAATTCCTCTCCGCGTTTGTAAACCAAAGTTAGCTTACGCTAGTGACGCGTAGGGTGGTCAAGGAAGGACTCCACCCTCATAGCGGAGACGTCCAGTTAAATTAAAGTGTGCGCAAAGCTACTGGTCGAGTCAAAGCTATAAAATAATTAAAATTGGAATGTTAAATTCCACTGTCATTCCTTGTTTTTTGCGGCTGTACTAAAACAGATCAAAAGATCTACTTGCAGCATCGTTCTGTAGATATTTTTTGATCCAGGAAGCGCCAGAATTCATTCACAGTGCAGAAGAGCCGAGCGCAGTGAAACGTGGACCTCGTATATCTACCGACAGCGATGATGATTTTGTGAAAGTGCACGCAGATGGATTACGGGAGAGTGAAAGTAATGGTGAAGCGGCCTATGAACATTTCACTGATTCGACCGGGCGAACAGACGAAGCGACTGTGCGAGCTCTTCCTAGTGGCAGCATCCATGCACGGACTGATAGGGAATCAGTGGAAGATCAGCAGCAAGCGATAGCCCCAGTTACATCGGATATATTAAGTGCACAACAAACGATTCCAGAGTACAGACAAGCTACACCTCTCCATCCAGAATTGGTTCTTTTTTGTAATTATTTTTATTCACATGTTTGTAAAAGCGTATCTCAACCTAAAGCTATATCGTTTTGTGTGTGTGTGTGTGTGCGTGCGTGTGTGTGTGTGCGTGTGTGTGTGTGTTTGTGTGTGTGTGTGCATATGTGTGTATATGTTTGTGTATCTTCCCGCATTTGTGTATTTGTTAACGCATGTGTAGTTCATAAGCATATTTTTTTGAAATTCGGCCACCCTTCGCCTAGCACTCAAAATTAAGGGGATAAGTTCTACCTTTTTTCGCGCAAGTTTTTATTCTGTTTGACGATTTTAAGGTGTTAAAAGAAGATTAGCCACTCACTGTTGCATATATCACTGAGTCTCATTGTTCATTTCAGTTTATGAAGGCTTTTTCAGGGAGCTACACAGAAACCTGAAGAAGGAGCTTTTGAGATTGTTGGCAAAATACAAGAACAGCCCGAGGAATCAGGAATGACAACAAGAACGGTCCCAGGAACAGCTGAAGGATACGCTGCACCGAAGGAGCAGTCTCCGTTCCAGATTATTAATGCAACAGCACAGCAAGCTCTGTCTGCTGAAGAAAATAAACGATTGGCGGAAGCAGAGATGTACGTGCAAGATGCAATTGAGTATGTAGCCGCTTACGAGCCTCGCCCGGAAACGTCGACAGGCTTTATCGTTGAAGAAGATATGTTGGATAGCGTGGCCAGGAGCGAGAGTGCCGCTGCCGCCGCTCTGCAGCCACCTGTTTCCGCCGAAGCAACTAGTGAAATGATTGGCACTAATGAAGTAGGAAAATTATTCCCGTCTATGCATTTTTAGAGTGGCACAGTGTCCTGAAACTTTATACTTAGGCAGCAACCGGAAATTCTAGATTTGGGATGGAGAAGGCAGTCGTTTTAGCTTGCTTTTATTAGAAAGTCCTCTTCAAAATAATCCATTTTTCTTAGTGAATCGTGCGCCCGAGTTTTTCTTTTTTCACGCACTTGTTACATCCCACTTGGAATCGGGGTTTTGCTTGTTTTTAGTTAGAAATCTTAACTCGATGATCTAGTCGCTAAAGAAGAACAAGAACCCTTTCTTGCCTGTACGCCTTTGAATACTTCTTACTCTGCTGAATCAAACTGTAAATGTAAAATACAGAAGACACCAAATTTTTACACAGCACGTTTTTTTTCACTTTTTTTTCATGCTGTTGAGAAAATTGCTAAAAAGTGATAATAATTGAGGTATTCGAAAAACTGGAGGAGCCGATGGAACCGGACGATGCAATGACCTATGCCCCCGAAATACAATCTATCGAAATACCACCCGATCAAGCGAGCATTAACAGTGAAAATTTGTTAGAGTATTTCGATCAAGTTGCTGCCGAGTGCACTGACGTTTTCAGCGTTCGTTTTTTTTTTTGTACTTTTCCTTACTTAGATTTTTTACTGACTCATTTTTCCGACTTTTCATCCTTAATAACGATTCGACTGTTCGTGGGTTGTCGGACGTCAGATCTTCCTTGGGTTCCCCGACAGTGAAATTCTGCATGTTATTAAAAGCTAACAAGCGGTTAATTATCTCGGCTCGAGGAATGTCTTGCCCAAACTCATGTTACTGTGGGTGTGTAAGAAATCAACCATGCAATCAAATTGCCAGCACCAGCATTCTAGGCCCACGTGCCCTTCGAATTTCCAAATATTTATGTAAAAAACCCATTCATTTGAAGAACTATATTTAGACGCAGCGCACTGATAGACGTAATTCCACTTGTGACAAATGAGGAAGTCAATCTCCCTACGATACGTTATTCGTTTTGATGATAAATCAGCGTTACACAAGCCGGGGAGTCAAAATCGCTCTTATAAGTAAGCCTCAAAAAAGGGAGTTGTCGACAACCGTATCAGCGGATTATTGTTTTTGGCACATGCTCGACTCAGTCTTCTTCCTAGTGACATCACCTTTCACAGAGATTGGGTACGGGAGAAATTTGACTTTTGGAGTTACTATACTAGCATCTTGTATTTGAGTCGATTAATTTTGAAAAATTCGAACGCTTCGAACTTTCCTCATCATTCTGAAACTTATTTCATATTTTGCTCTTACTTTTCTGCATTTGCTACTTGTTACATAGCTTTCACTAAGGGTATTTGGAAAAGTATGTATTGAAAATTGTGCATCAATATTTCAAGCAGAAATTTCACGTCCAAATTCTGCAATTTACTATTTACAGCTAGCATTACCACAGAAAACACGGGCCACCAGAAGCTCGCCAATTTCCAAACCACTGGAATCCTCGCAGTCGATCTCATCGTTACGAAGCACATCCAGCGGAAGTCATCGGGTAAGCTTAAAGCGAGTAGTATGTTTCATCTTTTTGTACGCCTTGTCCCAGCACAGATAGTCGATCAGTGGATGAGTATTCAATGGTCAGTCACTCGTGGCCACCTTCCTTCTCCCATCGTAACCGTACTTTTAAGGCCTGTAATAAAGTTCCATTTGTTCTTTGCATTTTCATCACCCCACCTCGGTGTATTTTTCTCTTTTTTTCCTCATTTTTCTCAATTCTTTTTGTAGAAGTGCATCCCGAACTGCTCTACAATAAATGCTTTAGAAGGATTGAACAGCATGGCTTGCTTGCGGCAAGCACTTTTATCCTGTGGTAGCTCTGCTAAAATTTCAAGATGAAAATATTTCAGATATCATACTGTAAGGCCGTCCAAAAAAGGATTGGGAATAATGATAACTAGAAGCCCCTGAACATTTCTGAGTCGGAGAGGCGAGTTATGGCCAAGACATTTGAGAGACTTTTCAAAAAGTGAAGAAGTGAAGGTGTCAGCTCTTTTTTTGATGGCATAATCAGTAGATACCATGAATGAAGAATTTTGGAAAAGATACAGAGAATAGTTGCAGATGAGGAAGCAGAGTTCGTTGCTGAGTGTGCTTGGTGTAACAAGTATGCAGGAGATGTTGCTTGCTCTCACCTCTCTCCAGGACTTGTCGGATGCTATGCGTAAAGCCGGCCTACAGTCCACTAATCTCATTTTCGGTAAAATTTGAAACAGCTGGTTTAAAACTTATGAGATTTGCTTTTAGATGCTACATTGAATTGCGTGCTTTTCTGACACCCTAATTGATGCCATCATTTTGAATACGATTGTTCAGGTATCGACTACACAGCGAGCAATAAGTATCAAGGCGAGCACTGCTTCGAAGGGCGATCTCTTCATTCACTGGATACCCCAACAGGGAATCCCTACCAGCAGGCAAGTTACAGCTTTGCAACTCTATAGATAGTCTTCAAACGTTAATTTTCAAAAGAACTTTAGTTTGCTAGTGGTTTAACCAGAGGGCCCAGAGAGCTTCCAAACGGAACGTTGTAAAATAAAGCATCAGTTAATGCGTTAAAAGCATAAAACCAGCGCCTCCATCAGGTTTTTCAATTTTCCTTAAATGATAGTGACGATGATATTAATAATTAGTAACAATTATCAAGTAGTCAACCATTGTTGCTATTGTTTTTACTATTTATTACAATAAATGTGATTATCACAAATATGTCCCAGAGAATCGCAGTGAAACAAAATACACTTTACAGGTGATAAAAATAATGGGACGAACTCTGGCGCCATTTGCCACATCTGGCTACATACCGGCCTATGGGTTCGGTGATGCAAAAACGGGCGACTGGTCCGTTTTTAAACTGAAACCAGATGGAGAATGCAAAGACTTCGATGAAGTGTTACGGTACATTCATTATGCGTTTTTTGCAGCTATGCAATGCAAACAAAGGCTGGAACGCACCAGGCGAGCCGGTGCGAT